GCGTAATAACCATTTACTCTCAATCATTTTTGTACTCACAGGTCTCTCAACCTGAGTCCACTTCCATCCCATGCTGATCATCAGAGTGCTCTAGACGATGATGATGATGCGTTCCATGGCATGGCTGCATCTCCATCTCCATCTCCTCCAAGGCGGTCTCCCCCTCCTCCGCCTCCCACGCCGTAGAGCCAGAAGAGGCCCCCGCCCTCGATGAAGAAGAAAGTCAGCTGTCGTAAAACAAAGCCCCCTCCGGAGAAGCTACCTTATGAGAAATCTGAAGAGGAATCAAAAGCGGCGGCACAAAAAGATTTGGATAATTGGTGGAAAAGTTTAGAAGAATCAAACGCAAGGAGGTTGGAACTTCAGAAAAATACGCCAAAGCCGCACTACATAGCTCAACGAGAACTAAGAAAAAAATCAATGAGCGCGAGAAAAAGTAGCGTGATGCACGTAAGCCCTCTCCATATAAGGCGTCGCTGAAAGCGAAGAGAGCAGGGAAAGATGTTGCACAACTCGGGCAGCTATCTAAGCAATCTATTGACCCGCTAGTTATTGAGGGTGATTTCACAAACGCACAAGGCGGTCCAATAAATAAGGAGGCACTGGAAGACTTCATGGCCACCACAGGTCTCACAACTGAACAACTCATGGGTGGAGCATCGATACCAACAGGCAACTATGATATTTACCGGACCTATGTGTATGGCCAGAGTCTTGTCAACCCTAGGTACTACTCATCACTAGGTATGCAGATGTTATTGTTGAACAAGTGGTACTTAAAAGTGACTGAAAATGACGAAGTAGCATGGCTTGTTGGCAGAGTGAGACCAGAGCATTACTTGGGCTATGACGTTATACATATTGAGTTCAATGAATTACACCAACTATTAAACCGGGACGCTCTTGATAAATCTCTTGTCAGCTGTTGGTGTCTGTAAGTGATTCTTTCTACAATTGAATTGAAGTAACTTGCATGTTAGTTCGTTGTTCATATATAGTTATCCTCACACTATATATTGTACTATATATATATATGCAGATATGAGATGCTGAAACTAAAGAAAAAAGCGATGACTGAGGTTGGTTTCATTGATCAGAATCGCATATTCAAGGACAGGGTTACTCCATATGATAAATGGCGACCTCAAGTGGAGAAGTTTCTGTTTAGGTTCTTAGATAAGAACGCTAACAAGACACTGATACTCTTCCCATACGGCTTCAAGTGAGTGTGAATGTCTTGTACCCATTTTATTTTGCTTACTCCATGTTAACTTTAGTTAATGAGTTATGCCTGCGTATAAACATGTAGCTTTCACTGGGTACTGCTGGTCATCGATATGACCAGAAATCGTGTAAAAATCTTTGACTCAGCGACAAAACCCCGAGCAAATTACCAAGAAATCCTCGATATACTCTAGTGGTAATTTTGGTCTCGCACACACTGTATACTCTCTTATGCCATTTTAATGATATAACTCCATTTATTTATTTTGTTGAGCGGTTCTTGGAAAAGGTTCGACGAGAAACACCATTATGATACTTGGGAAGTGCCTCAGCATATAGTCCAATACCCAGTAAGTACTAGCTAGGTCACCATATCTTTATTTAGTTCAATTCATTATTACCATGCTTCATTAGTTGATGATAAATCTTTTTCTCGTAAAGTGGTGTCTCCAGCAGGGATCAGGGAACAACTTATGTGGATACTACACCTGCGAGTTCCACATGGAGTACTCAAGGAGAACAAATGAAAAGATCCTCGAAGTATGTAAAAATATACACAATTTATTTATTACCATTGTGTTGATATATATAATCATTTATATATTCATACTTTTGCTTTCATTCGAATTGAAGATTGAATGGAGGAAGCAAAATGTCCTGCGATGTGACCAGATCAAAGCAATTTAAGAGGTATTGTCAGGATTTCTTTTGGAGCAGGTCATAGATCCCAAGGGCGCGTACTACTACAGCCCTAAAGAATTCATACCTAGTAGCCAAACGACGGAAGATTAGGGTTGTAAGAAATCCCAAGGACATGAGTACATTTGTGACTTTATTATATATGTACATATTTCATGCATGCACAACCTCTTGAAATATTTATATATATATAGGTTCATACATTTTAGTGTGTTATTTATGTATAATGTTCGAACAAAACCTTATACGTATGTATATTAGCAGCGTAGAATTCGTATACGAAAAGTTAATCAAAACCAAAAAGAATTGAATTGAAAAGAAACCATAAAATGAAAAGGAATGAAATGGAAAAAAGGAACCTTTAGTACCGGTTAGACACACTAACCGGGACTAAACGTGCCAGCCCCGGTGCAATGTCTAGGGGCCATTTAGTCCCGGTTGATAATAGCAACCGGGACTAAAGATCCACTTTCAGTCCCGGTTCCTAGAACCAGGACTAGGGGGGGCTTTAGTCCTGGATTCGCAATTCCGATTGGGAAACCGGGACTAAAGGGGGTTTACCAACCAGGATTGCAACCGAGTCCTGCTCTAGTGTTATAAGCCTTCTATCAAAAATAAAGCAACATGAGCTTTGAAGAATTCTCTGTTTACTACTCTTGTGTGTATGTCCGATGATCATCTGTCACTGTTACAATGCAAAAACAAACTGAGGCGGCTCAATTCGCAGCCACACCTCTGCTATGACCTCCATGGGACACAATAATTTATTAGCTTGCCCTTTCAAGCCTCCGAGAAGGGACATTTTAGAAGTGGTATAAGTGAGATCCATTTCTATAAACGCACACTACTATTTGCAGAGGCAGCTCTATTAATGAGGTCCGGTATATAAAGTAGCCTCCTCTCCTTCCTCGTTATCACGACAGAATTGTAGCCTGAGAAGGAATGAAGGGAATGCTCCAAGCAATCACAAAATTGCAAATGTAAGTGAAAGATTTTGCTCTTAATTTTTTGGAAGGAGGAAACTTATCTAGAAGATAAGGCACACCAATCCTAACATCTTTTTGAAGGTTTAGCGTTAGATTACTTGATTAATTAGGTTCTTGAGTTTCTATCTATTTGCATGGTTTGAGACAATTATAATTGAAATTAGACCAAATCTTTGAAGGTCCTAGGTGAATTTAGTAGGGGAATAAGATCATACCCTTGTCTGTGGCCATGTCTTGATTTTTATAGTCTATTATCTAGTTTTTGAATAGGGATTTACATTGGGCTCTATGACTAGATCTAGATCTAAAATTATTTTGTTAGTCATTAGTTTGTGACGAATACCTGTACTTAGGGTACCCTCACCCGCCTTGGTATAGGTGACTTCATACGCTGCCGAGTTCGTACTCTGTGGAGTTTGTATGTAGCAGAGTTCCGAAGGACCCGTTTGGGTAGAGAAACTCAGGTCGCAGGGTCCACTAACTTTCAGCGGCCCTCGGGCCCGGCGCCCGTAGGACGCTACTACCTGAACAATCTCAATCGAGGGGATCTGGCCCCACTGAACTCAACAACTCCTTCAAGGATGGAGACGCCTGAGCATCACATAAACGGGGAACTAGGCTGGTGTATCCTTCTACCGGAATGGTCAAAAGGTTGTCAGTCATATGTAGTGACACTGAAAGCATCTAGGTCCGTTTTTGGGTTTTGGTAATTAATGACAATACCTGTGGACTAACATTTTATTGAGAAATGAAGGTTATAAGTTAGGACCATATGGATGCTTTGAGCAAAACATTGGTGTTATGGTGAAAGATGCCATGGATGGATGGTGAAGAGCTCAAGGCGAAGATATATGATAGGGTTTATGCTTCAATGGCCAAAGGTGATAGTCAACACAAAGAAGTTGGTTCCGGTTTTATAGGTTGAGGGACCCTTTGGAACGCAGGGATTGTATAGGAATTTCACAGAGTTCATGTTCCACAGGAAAAACAAAATCCTGTGTTCCAAAGGGAGCCTTGAATGGTAGAAAAAGTTTTGGTTATCACTAACGAGTAGTGTTCAGATCCCAATCTAGAAGAGATGAGAATCAATCACCGTACTCGTGGCCGGCCCATGCCCCCATGGTTTAACCCTTGACTGCTTCTTCCTCGAGTACCAATTAACTAAACCATGCATGCACAAGTTCATTGAACAGTACCGCGTATCTGAAGGAACGTCAACTTCTGACTTCTGACGCAAACTTGCAACGCGACGACTGGAGCAAGATAGAGCTAATAAAGTAATCCTCGATCTATACGTCAACTTGTAACACGTTGCGAGATGCCTTCGTCTCAAATGTAGTCTAAACTAGATGTTTATATAGTATAATAAACTAGCTATAGCCTATATATAGCTAGGGCTTCTAATGGTCGATGTTTAGTGCCTATAAAAAGCTAGCATGATACAGGGGCACCGATATAGTCAATTGACCTTGCCTGTTTGACCATCTCCATTTGTAGCATCATCTCGATCGTGTCATCTGTACGTCCTCATATATTCTATTTCTAGCTAGCTAGTAGCTCCTCGTTCGTTCTCGTGTCATCCCTCCGTTCTAATATATAAGGCGTAACCACTTTTTAATCAAGTCCTATAATATAAGACGTGATTTTTCTCTAGACACTAGGGATGAAAACGGTATGGATATTTTCCGACCGTATTCGAAACCGAATCCGTTTAGAGGGTTTGAGATCTGTCCGTATCCGAGTTCGGATATCCAACATTCGATACCGTATCCGTATCCGAATACTCAAATCGCATATTTATGATGTCGATATCCAATCGTATCCTATCCGACATAGCTGACACTATCCGTATTCGAATCCGAATCCGGACAGAAATATAAAAACAAATGTAATATCGGTGATATCCGTCCGTATCCGATCCGTTTTCATCCCTACTCGACACACATATATCGATTCACTGATACTAGTGTTGAAAGAGAAAATTAAATATGCTCATTGGTCTTTGAACTAGAGGTGGTTATGCCTTGTATACTGAGCCGTGGGCCGGAGGGAGTAGTAGCTTCTGCTGGTCCCATCAAGAAAAAGAAAGACATGGCTTTAGCTGCTGCCCCTCTTAACTTAAGAAGGCCAGTTTGGTCGTCGCCGTGTGCGTCGTGCTGCTCCACTCTTCGCTGGGACAGCAGCAACAGCAACCGCCGCCGCCGCCTGCACCGGATTGCCCTTACACGGGGCAGCAGCCACCACCCTCGCCAACGCCGGTGGTGCCAGCGCCCACGCCGACGCCGACGCCAGTGCCAGCGCCAACACCACCGGTGCCGGCGCCGTCACCCGTCAATAATCGCACCTATAGTGACTGCGCCTCGCAATGTGATCAGTCATGCCGAGCCAGCCACTAGCTCGGCTGGTATGCAGTGCGACCACGTGGCCGCCTTCAACGCGTGCTACGAGAGCTGCACGAGCCATACCTGCCCTGGCAAGTCGTGCGTCCACAGTGGCTGCGGCTTCGGCGACTGCTCCTGCCACAACCGCAACGCAAGCAGCTGCTGCGAATATTGCGGCAACGCTGTTAGCAGCTCCGACCCCGTTTACCAACGTTGCCTGAGTTACTGGGAGAGGTCTGTGGCGTATTGCGTCATGGGCTGCCAGGACAGCTGCTCCAAGAGAGGTTATGTTTGAATTTCCCCGTTGGAACAAGTTTGTTCCCTAGAGTTCCTAATCTTGTCATCTTCGTAAGTCTGTCAGTCCTCGGTCGAGTCTGAAATAAACTCTGAATGTTACTGTTTGTTCACACGTTTCTATGCATTTTTCATATGTACTCAGTTATAATCCCTCGATCAAAAATAAAGCAAGGTGAGCTCTGAAATTCTCTGATTACGGCTCTTGTGTGTTTGCCCAATGATCATTAGTCACTACTACAAAAAAAACAACGGTAGAGATGCATGCATTTTTCGACAGAGGCGGCTCAATTCCTAGCCACACCCCTACTATGACTAAGGATGAAAACGGTCGAACTCGGTCGAAAAACTCCTCAACCGTTTTCTACTTTTACATTAGAAATACGAAAGCGAAAGCGAAAGCGGACAAGCCGGACACGAAAACGAACACGAACTTACGGAATATCTAGAATTACGGAAACGAACCAATTCGAGCGAAATCATGTCGAACACGGTCGGTATGCGAAAATTCAATACGAAATACCGACCCACAGTGCATAGCATTAAACAAGTGCACGACCAAATACATAACAAGTTCATAACTAACAAGTGCATGATCTAGTTCAAGTGCATAGCATTAAACAAGTGCACGACCAAATATATAATAAGAGAGTTGAGGCTGGACGCCGTCTATAAGAGAGGGCAGCTAGCCACCAGTAGAAATAACGCAGCTGCGTGGTGAGCAGCCTGTAATTGGGCTGTATGACCTGTGCAGTTGGCCAAATTCGGTTTAAACCGAATTTTGAATTCGGAATATTTCAAATTAAAAGTAAAAAAGTAGAAAACGGTCAAAAAATGTGTAAACTGTTTTCTACTTTTACATTTGAAATACGAAACATCTCAAATGCGAAAGCGAAAATGGTAAAGTCGGACAAGAAAATGTGGATTCGATCGGATTAAATATAGAAAACGATGCGGTTCGGTTCGGGATATTTCCATTCCGTTTTCATCCTTAACTGTGACCTCCATGGGGACCCACTAATTTATTAGGATGCACTTTCAAGCCTATGAGAAGGGACATTTTCAGAAGTGGTACAAGTGAGATCCATTTCCATACAGGTGCACACTACTATTTGCAGGAGGCAACTCTGTTTACATCAAAATTTGGGAAGAAGAGCATGGGAACTCGAAGCTTCCAAGATTGTGTCAATCAAGGAATCGATTGCATAAGAATCGATATCAGCTGTTTCAGATGTGGCACTAGAATCGGCTCTCTTCGAGTGACGTCAGCAGATAACAACAATGAGCTACGGTCGGCGTCGAGAAATACATTTCGGACTTAAAAAAGGGAAAAGATTAGGGTCCAAGTAATCTTAAGTTAGGAATGTCTTCTTTTATACCAAAGATTGTAATGAGTCGTACTTGAGTAGGATTCAAGCTTACGCTCCGGGTATAAATATTGAACCCCGGCTATTGTAAAAGACATCCAATCAATCAATACAAATTATTTTTTTCGGCTCCGTGCCAACCCTTAGGAGTAGGAGTAGTGTAGATCTCAGCGAGTTCTTCAACAAGCAGGGCTGCATCGGTCTGGCCGACCTCCGGCTTATCTATAAGTACCGTAATGGCTTATACTTCTGTTTGTACGGCTGCATCGGTTAAGTTCGACCTCCACTGCGAATTCTAGTATAAGCTAGTTATCGACTCTTATCTAGTTCAAGTACGGCTGCATCGGTCCGGCCGACCTCCACTGCTCGAATTAGATTAAGATCAAGTTATCGGCTCTACCTAAAAGTGGCATCCTTTGGGTAGATTCATTAAGTTACCGATCTTGCTAATGTTCTTATTGCCATTAGTTTTCAGCAAAATTAATCTGCCCGGTCGAGATCAATCTAGATCGGCCTCATATTCTTTTAGTCCGTCGTTTGCTTTGTTACAATATTATGATTCTTACTTTGAGTGACGGGTTATGTTTCATCGGCTGTTCTACTTCGATTTTGATCGTGCATAGTACGCTGTTAAGGCATGTCTAATTTTGAAGAGGTTTGCTGGCTAGTTAAATCTTGTCTATAGTTCGCTATTATGGCTGCAACGATCCGGTCGATCCCCACTGATGGCACTTTAGATCGGAGGATGCTAGTTGGTAGATTTATACTAGATCAGGCGTGACCTTGACTGTTTGTTATGCTTGCATCGGCTAAATAGCCGATCGCCTATGCTTTAACACCTACAGTGTGTCTCCATGATTCTGTTAAACGTGAATATATCTGTTTACTTTAAAGGTTTGATTTGTTGTCTTTATCACGGCTGCCATTGATCCGGTCGAACCCCACTGTTAGAGATAGCAGGTTAAGTCTGATGAGTTCATAGGTTTGTACATGTTAAATAGTCGATTGTTCACATGATGTAGTTCCTTTTCACCCGAATCCGCTATTTCAACCGATTCGCTCGAGCTTTCACACATATAGCGTGTCTTTCGGAAAGCCTGTCGATGTATAGGTGGTTTTACGGATTCTTCGGTTTTAGTTTGTTATTATCATCATAGCTGTCATCGATCCAGTCGAACCTCACTGTTGAAGATAACAGATTAGATCACAGTCGATTTGTTCGCATGCTATATCCTTTCTCGTTAGATTCATCAGCTCAATGCTTCACACTGGTAATGCCTACCTAGCTGATGGTATCACTTATATCTACGTGCATTATACTTTTCAACATAAAATCAATTACAACCCATAAGCTTTACAGTCTGGAAACAGCCGATTTCCTCGCGTATCGGCCGTTTAGTCGATTTTCTCGTCTGGCTGCTCCCGAAGTGGCACACTTGGAACTGTCTGGGCAAAGACCAGCATGTTTCACCTTAAATTACTGATAAACTTTCTCTCCTTGTCAATTGCAGGTTAAATTGACTGGCACGCCTCGGGAGAAATACGCAGGATCAGCTAACCCTGTGTTGAAGCCAAACGGATCTACGGGCCCATCCTAAGTAGATCCTTCCGGCTTGCAATGTACCCCGACGCATTGACACATTTTTGCGCCGATAGACCCATTTTATAAAGCAGACTCCTCCCCCTTCATCGTTCCCAGGACAAAACTGTAGTCCGAGAAGGAATGAAGGGGGAGCTCCAACAACCACAAAAAATGCAATTGTGAATCTACGGGGAAGGTCTTGCTCTTAATTTTGTTTGAAGGAGGAGAGTTATCTAGAAGATAAGTACCTGCCATTTCTAACATCTTTTTTAAGGTTTTGTGCTGGATTACTTGATTAATTAGGCTCTTGATTTTCTATCTTCATTTTTACGGTCTATTATTTAGGTTTTAAGGCATTAAGTTTGGATCTATGACTAGATCTAGAATTATTTTTGTTAGTCAATTAGTTTGTGACGAATAACATGCCTGTACCCGGAGTACCCTCACCCCCTTGCTATAGGTGACTTCCTACGCCACTTACTTCGTACTCCACTGAGTTTGTACGTCATTGAGTTCCCCAGGACCCGCTCGGGCAGAGGAACTCGAGCCACGGGGCCACTAGCTCCTAGGGCCCCTCGAGCCTGGTGCCAGTGGACCCTCCCGAACAATCCCCGTCGAGGGGACCTGGCCCCACGGAACTCAGCAACTCCCACAAGGAGGGAAACGATCGAGCATTCACATAGGGAACTCGACCAGTCTTCCCATCTATTGGAAGGGTCAAAAGCCTTTTATACGACATAGTGACGTTGACAGCATCTAGACATCTTTTTAGGTTTGGGTAATTAGTGACAATACTTGTTTGTGTTATAAGCTAGGACCACACAGGATGCTTTAAGCAAAACATTGGTGTCATGGTGAAAGATGCATGGATGAATGGTGATGAGCTCAAGACAAAGGTATATGATAGGATTCATGTTTCACCGGCCTAGTAGAGTGATTAGAAAAGTTAAATGACCGTTTCGCAAAAAAAAAGAGAGAAGTTAAATGACCTGGTTTATGATAGATATATAGATATACTCTAAATAGAAGAGATCTCTATTGCGAATACGGTTGTTATCTATGTGCCACTCGGTAAGGTCATTCCATGCATTGCACTTAGAAAGAATTGATGGTTTGAAAGCAATTGAAAAACCTTTTGAAAATAATTTAAAAATGCTAACAATATAGTATAAGCTAAAGGTGTTGGATGTCCTCGGGAACCAATTTAGAGTTAGCAACATTTGAAAAGGTATTGAAAAAGAGAATGGTATTACTGTATTTTAGCCGGGTCTGTTTCAGCTAGAAAATCTGGGATCAGCCCCCTTTTGTTCATATTTGCAGCTAGGTTGCATGGTAGAACAGACCCATGCGACTGGTTCTTCCTCGAGCACCAATATAATGAACCATGCATATGTCTGAATCTGAAGGAGCGTCAACTTCAGCATTATGTCAACTTGTAACATGTTGCAAGATGCCATGGGTGAAGTCCCAATGCAAATGTACTCTATATCTTATAATATAAACTAGCTATAGCTCGGGCTCCTAATGCTAATGGTCAATCGATCCGCAAGTTCGGTCTTCGGTGCCTATAAATTGTCAATTGAGCTGTTTGCCCTTATCTCCGTTTATATAGCATCTCGTCTTAATTCTCACCTCATTCCAGCTAAGATAGCTCATTTTGCTCTACATAAGACTCAAGCTTCCTTATTAGTACTAGCTTATTGCTGTCCCATCCAAGAAAGACGTAATGGCTTCAGCTGCTGCCGCTAGCGTTGTTAAGGAGGCCTTGGTCGTCGCCGTGTGCGTCGTGCTGCTGCTCCACTCTTCGGCGGGACATCAGCCGCCCAAGTCGGCGCGGCCACCGCCTCCACCGCATTGCCATTACACGGGGCAGCAGCCACCGCCGCCACTACTGTTGGAACCGGTGGTGACCACCGAGTTCACGATCTTGGAGCTGGCTTGCAGCCGGCCCGGCTCGTTACGAGTCTGCGCTCCCACAGGTCCTAGGTCCACCAGAGCTTACAACATATAAGGCCTTGGGCCTTACTCGACCCAAAAGACTAGCCTAATAGGTGAGGGTTCTTCCGCCTTATATGTTGTGCTCCCCCACCATCGCTACACGATGTGGGACTAAACCCCAACAATCTCCCCCTTAGTCACACATCGGGGTGCCTCCGCCATATGTGACGCTCGAGATTTTTTTATCGGGTTTAGCTTTTCTGACCATGGGCTCCGATACCAATTGTTGGAACCGGTGGTGACCACCGAGTTCACGATCTTGGAGCTGGCTTACAGCCGGCCCGGCTCGTTACCACGAGCCTGCGCTCCCACAGGTCTCAGGTCCACCGGAGCTACAACATATAAGGCCTTGGGCCTTACTCAACCCAAAAGACTAGCCTAATAGGTACGAGTTCTCCCGCCTTATATGTTGTGCTCCCCCACCATCGCTACACGATGTGGGACTAAACCTCAACAATCTCTCCTTTAGTCACACATCGGGGTGCCCCCGCCATATGTGACACTCCAGATTTTTTTATCGGGTTTAGCTTTTCTGACCATGGGCTCTGCTACCAATTGTTGGAACCGGTGGTGACCACCGAGTTCTCAATCTTGGAGCTGGCTTACAGCCGGCCCGGCTCGTTACCACGAGCCTGCACTCCCACAGGTCTCAGGTCCACCGGAGCTACAACATATAAGGCCTTGGGCCTTACTCAACCCAAAAGACTAGCCTGATAGGTGAGGGTTCTTCCGCCTTATATGTTGTGCTCCCCCACCATCGCTACACGATGTGGGACTAAACCCCAACAATCTCCCCCTTAGTCACACATGTCACCACCGGTTCCAACAACCACCACCACCCTCGCCGGTGCCAACGGCGTCGCCACCGCCCTCGTCGACGCCAGTACCAGCGCCGCCGCCCTCACCGACGCTGACGCTGCTACCAGCGCCCATGCCAACGCCGCTGCTGCCACCGCCCACGCCGGCGCCAACGCTGCCACCAGCACCAGTGCCACTGCCAACACCCACGCCGACGCCGACGCTGCCACCAGCACCGGCCCCCGTCAACTGCAGCCACATTGACTGCGCCTCGCAGTGCAGCCCGATCTGCCAAGCCAACCACGACGCCGGCATGGCCAAGTGCGAGAGCGACCTCGTCACCAACTTCAACGGGTGCTACGACAGCTGCACTAGCCACATCTGCCCCGGCGACTCCTGCGTCAACAGCGGCTGCGGCTACGGTCACTGCCCTTGCGACAACGCCAACGCAACCAGCTGCTGCCAAAGGTGCTGGAGCGGTGTATTACCCCAGTACTTTAGTTGCCGGAATTACTACGACAGGGCTGTGGAGTACTGCATGAGGGACTGCCAGAACACCTGCTACAAGAACTGCACCCAGGGCGCGTAGAGTTCTTGATCTTGTCATCTCATGTGTCCAATCATATATGGTGTGTCTAGCTAAGTGTGTCAGTCCTCACTCTAGCTAGTAGGATTTTTTTTATGAAATAATATTATTTAAATAAATAATTATAGATTTAGATGGCACTTTTAAAAAGTTGCAAGATTACCAACCAATCGGCAATTCACCGGCCGACAAGTCGACCTTCCATCCGACTAAACAGTACAGGTACTAATCGGTACACTGAGAATGGTATTACTGTATTTTAGCCGGACCTGTTTCAGCTAGAAAATCTGGGATCAGCCCCCTTTTGTTCATATTTGCAGCTAGGTTGCATGGTAGAACAGGCCCATGCGACTGGTTCTTCCTCGAGTACCAATGAACCATGCATATGTGTGAATCTGAAGGAACGTCAACTTCTGCATTATGTCAACTTGTAACATGTTGCAAGATGCCATGGGTGAAGTCCCAATGCAAATGTACTCTATATCTTATAATATAAACTAGCTATAGCTCGGGCTCCTAATGCTAATGCTAATGGTCAATCGATCCGCAAGTTCGGTCTTCGGTGCCTATAAATTGTAAATTGAGCTGTTTGCCCTTATCTCCGTTTATATAGCATCTCGTCTTAATTCACCGGCCGACAAGACGACGCGGCAGCCGACTAAACAGTACAGGGACCCTGACTTGCCTTTTTTTCATCTCATTTGATCCAAATCAATTTGTACACGGACTTGTATATCCTATTGCCACTAATCCAAATACCGAGAGGCATATTCCACAGGGTATGCTATTCTAATATGATGATGTACGCCCCTGCGACAACGCCAACGCAACCAGCTGCTGCCAAGCGTGCCGCAGCGGTGTATACCCCCGGTACCAGAGTTGCTTGCATTACTACGACAAGGCTGTGGGCTACTGCATGATGGACTGCCAGGGCACCTGCTACAGGAACTGTACATCTGATGGGAAGCAGACACCACCACCGCCGGTGGTGCCACCGCCGACGCCGACGCCAGTGCCGACGCCGATGCCTGCGGCGCCGGCGCCGGTGAACAATTGCACCTATAGTGACTGCGCCTCGCAATGTGACCCGTCTTGCCGAGCCAATAGCACCGCTGGTACCGCGAAGTGCTGGAGCGACCACGTCGACGCCTTCAACGCGTGCTACGACAGCTGCACGAGCCATACCTGCCCTGGCAAGTCGTGCGACCACAGTGGCTGCGGCTTCGGCGACTGTACCTGCCACAACCGCAACGCAAGCAGCTGCTGCGAATGGTGCGATAACACTCTTAGCTTCGATCCCCAGTACAACAGTTGCAAAGTTTCTGGCAGAGGTATGTGGGCTACTGCGTCATGAGCTGCCAGGACAGCTGCTCCAAGAACTGTACCCACGGCGCGTAAGAGAGATTGTGTTTGAATTAATTTCCCCGTTGGAACAAGTTTGTTTCCGTGGAGTTCTTAATCTTGTCAGTCCTCAGCCGAGTCTGAAATAAATAAACTCTGAATGTTACTGTATGTTCAGGTTTCTATGCATTTTCATATGTACTCATTAGTTCCTCACCTAAAATTGACTTCCTATTCCATCGAATATTTGAACACATGCATTGAGTATTAAATATAGATTAAAAATAACTAATTGCATAGTTTGCGACTAATTTACGAGAAGAATCTTTTAAGCCTAATTAGTCCATGATTTGACAATGTGGTGCTACGGATTAATTAGGCTTAATAAATTCGTCTCGCGGATTACTGACGGATTTTGTAATTTGTTTGTTTATTAGTATACGAACACCACATGCGACACCCCCATGTGACACCCTAAAACTTTATACCCAACATTAAAACAATGCCACAGTTATAAGCCCTCGATCAAAAATAAAGCAAAGTCAGCTTTCACTACTGGAGGCGGGCTCTTTGCCGAGTGCCTGTTGCACTCGGCAAAGGCAGCTTTGCACTCGGCAAAGCCTTTGCCGAGTGCAACACTCGGCAAAGAGCCTCCATCGAATCCCCTTCTGGTAAAGGCTACTTTACCGAGTGCCAAATTTCGAGCACTCGGCAAAGATTTGACGCCGTCGGCCGACGACTGACGCCATCACAAGTGGAGATGTCTGGGTTTTAGGCATCCGACGTCGCAACTTGCTCGAAACCTTCTCATTTTTTTACCATAGACTCTACATGCGATAACACGACGCCCCGACAAGTTTCGTCATTTTCGGACTTCGTTCGGATTTTATATAATTTAAATTCACTTTTCCCGCAGGTACCTCGTCATGTTACGTCAACAAGATGGGCGAAATTTCATGTGAGTTCCTGGATACGGCCTCAACATACACCAAATATCATGAATATCATTTTTTGAACGACCAAATTCAATTATTCCATGCACCGCAGTTCAAATTTGAAATATTCCATAAAATTCAACGAAACAAAAAAAACTAACAAAATATAGCAAAAGTCAAAATTGTCCCAAATTGGAACATGGAGTTTTAAATAATATGGGAAGGCGACAAAAAAATGGGTCAAAAAAACCAAAAAAAAATATTTTGCCGAGTGTGCAGAAGTGGCACTTTCGGCAAAAGAAGGGATCTTTATCGAGTGCGGGGGCCTTGGCACTTTCGGCAAAACCCTCTTGCCGAAAGTGCCGTACGGCGCCGCGGCAAAGATTTTTTTTAATTTGACGGCGTGGGGCGGGCTCGGCCGTCAAGTGCCATTTTTTGTCGAGTGTTGCACTTTCGGCAAAGAGGATTTTGCCGAGTGCCGCCTTTGCCGAAAGTGCCGGTACTCTGGGCACTTTCGGCAAAGCCACTCTTTGCCGAGTGCTAGACTTTGCCGAGTGCCACCCGGTCCCACACTTTCGGCAAAGAGTGGCTTCGCCGAGTGCCCAATTTTGGCACTCGGCAAAAGTCAAGCACACTCGGCAAATCTGCGTTCTCCGTAGTGTTTGAATTCTCTATTTACTGCTCTTGTGTGTTTGTCCAATAAAACAACTATAGTGATAGATGCATTTTTTTACAAAGGTGGCTCAATTCCCGGCCAAACCTCTACTATGTCCTCCATAGGGACCAACTAATTTAGTGTAACACCCTCGGTGTTACGCTGTAAATCATTTGCTAAAACATGTCATGAGCATCATGTTTATGTGTTAATGCATGTAATAAAGAGTGTAGATCAATTTCCGTAACTCAAAATGATCAACGGAAGTGCGAAACGAAAGTTAATTCCATAGTCATGTTACATCACTTTGGGTTTAAAACCAATTTTTATTAAGCAAAAATGCTATAGAACATATATGTGATACTTGAATAAAGTTTGAAGTACAAACTTTATAGATGACGAGGAAATACATGCGGTCGAAAAATGATATCACTAGCTAACATTTCTAATAGCTTGGAAATCGAATTTGAAGCAAATCCAACACAAGACTTGGTCAATTTCTATTGGAAAATTGGGTTAAGGAGCCGTGTAGTACTATAGTTTGTTTTGGTAGCTTATTATATCCTCTAAGGCATAGCAATGGTGGTTTGGGAATTGGATCAACGGTTTAGATTTTTCGAACGCTTTAAAAACCGTGCACAACACGTTCTCGGCCTGTTTCCTCTCGTGGGCGCGGTCACCGCGTCTCTGGGATGCGATGTCGTCGCCTCGGGTGCCCCGCGCGCGCACTCTGCCGCACTCGGTCGGCCACCGTGGGCGGGTCGGCCTAGCCACACAATGCTGCTGCCATGCGAGCCCGGTGCGCTGGCCGCCATGCCACCCTGACGCGCGGGCGTCCCATCCCACTGTCGCGCTACTGCTCTACTGTTGCGCTGTCGTCGCGTCCGCCTCTGCCGCCTCGCGTCACAACGCTGCCGCTGTCATCGTGTCGCTCTTGTACGCGTGCTGCATCGCGTTGGCTCTACCTGGCCCGGTTGGGCGTCGTCCGCACGTGGCCGTGCGCGCCACCTTCGCTTTGCCATTTATGGCACTGCGGCCGCGCGGGGCACGCCGGTTGGGCGTGCACGCCCGTCGTCTTGCGCCAGCACGTGGGACTCCTGGTCCCGCCGCTCGCGTCCTGCCTAGGCGCACAGCCGCGCCACTGTCGTCGCCCGCGTTCCCTGTCTTTTCCCCTGCCGCCGCCGCTGCGCCGTGACAATACCTAGACGCGTGAGACGCCTCTCATTAATTTCACACGCCTGCACCTGCGTTCTCTTGTCCTCTCACCGCCTGAGCCACACATAATCTTAATGACGGACAGCCGGGCGCCAATTTGGCGTTTCTGCCCCGGCGAGCCGTTAAGGCCAAGCTTGGTCGTGGGCGCGAACAGCACGCTCGCCATTCGCCCACTGTCCAATTCGTTGTACTACTATTTTCTTCTAGCTCCTTCCTTCGCCCCGCGCACCTCAGCCTAGTCACAACTAGCTCGCCTTCGTCGCTGACGCGACCGTGTCACCGCAATAAGCCGCCACCAAGCTCGGCCGCATGTGGCCGACTTCCCTCAGCTGCCCTCTACCCCCAACCATCATTTCGGGCAGACTCGCAGTACGTCATTAGTGCTTAGCCACCACCTCTACCGACCTGTTAGTGCTGTAGCTCGCCGGGGTGGCTGCACCGCCGTCGTGGGTGGTCATGCACGGTGGCAGCTCGCTCCAGTTCACCCTGTGGCTCCGTATCACCGCGATTGGGTTAGCGTTAGGGTCGTTGGTGGGATTAGCGTGGGTCTCAGGTGGTCGGCGCACCGCCTTGTGTCATCGCCGCCACGCCGACACGCGCAGGGACGGTCGAGGACCTGGCCGTTGTAAAGAAGAGTTATTGCGAGGGCTATTTTGCTTAAGTGCCAACTGTAGGAATAAGCCTATAGTAGTCGCATGAATAGCAGATAGAGTGGGGGCATTTTCGTAAAAGTACCAGCGCGCGCAGGCTTCCCCGCCGTGGGCTGCCTCCGCGCGTGGGTCGCGCCTCGCCTGTGGGCCGCTGCACGTTCGCACACGCACGCGCACGGGCTCCTCCGCTGTGGGCCACCTTCACGC